AAAAAAAAGTCATTAATAAGCAAGTTCAGCAGCGCAGCACTCAAGTGAGAGTTGCATGAGAATGGGCATCAGCCCACACCAATTGAGGATGCACCATGCTGTATCCAGGGCACTGTGTCACCAGCTTCTTACAGCATGCGAGTTGATAGCAGAGAATTGCCTCAGGGCTGGTCAGGTCAGTGAAGCCCTCTGACATAGAGGAAGCAGCTTCTGTATGGGATAGATGAAGGATGGCTAAAATAAATAGGACGCTGCATCTGTCACCTCATTGGTTCTTCCACACGTCACAGACTAACAGGCTGCAGCTCAGAGCGTAGTAAAATCTGATTCTGTCTCACGGGAGTGCTGTTTATCTGTGAGTTTATCTGTTTATCTCTGCTGTGGGTGGGAAAGGCCATTACTCTTGCTGCACGAGGTCCTGGGATATGACGACAGAAAAACTTAAACTGAAGGTTTAAGATTCTTAGGGAAGTTAAATACACTTGGAAACATTATAATATAGATCAAACATTTGGATTTAAGAACCTAAGTTCTTGGCAAGTTAAACTGTGCATATATATCTGTTCCTGATCAGCACGCATTCAAGCTATGGTACCCCAACTGAGAGTTAGCATTTAGTGATTCTTTGATAATACATTCTCTTAGAAGCCTTAGAAAAAGCCTATAATATAACAGTAAATCAGGTGACACAATGCAGGAGGCTGCCACTCTCAATAGATATTACTTTTCCCTGTGGGAAAGCTGCCAGAAAGGAAAATACACTTATGTCTCTGTTCTTTCTTAGTACAAACCCATCTAAGGTTTTATGCTAGCTCTGTCTGGAATAACAGCTGCAAACATGATCTGCTTTAGCCAGGCCTCTTGGAGGCAGTTGATTTGCCACAAGAGTGGAGTGGGGAGTGGGATGCAGTCAAGTCCAAAATTGCCTCACTTCAGAGTGCATTTATCAGAAGCCTCAGTCCCTGCTCTGCTGTTACCACACTTTTGGTTAGATTTTTTTAGGCCGAAGGGGAGTGCTGACCTAGACGGGCTGCTAGAAACTGTATGCTTTCTGTACAATTTTAAGGATTTCTCCCCCACCCCCCTCTCTTCTCAGACATTTAGAATTAAACCTCCTATGTGCATTACTAAAAAGGATGTCGACTTTGCTGTGGAAGTACTTCATTCTGCTTTACAGAGACACATGGAAAGAGCAGCTGCAAAATAGACGTGACTTGTTTCCTTGCATCCATGAGATGCACACAGAACCCCTGATACTTGCCACCCAGACCCTGCACTAATCTACACTGGATAAGAAAATCATCGTCTGAAGATGAAATACTTGTTCAGTATCATAAATCCCGTGTTTAATAAAGAATATGCTCTGTTTTGTAAACATACAGTTCAGTTCTACAGTGGTGTTGTGTATTAGCTGCATACCTATTCTAGCATTAGCATAAAAACCCCTGATTGTATTAAGTGGGTATCAGATGAAGAGGCAGACACATACTCATCTTTCATCAATGAAAGTCGTAACAAAAATTGGGTAATATTTAGAAAGAGGTAATATTTAGAATATAATGGCAAATTAATAGAGTTGTTTTGGGGAAGTACATGCTGTTCGGACTTTGTAGCATCCGTAGTCCCCTTGGGTGTGGTAGCAGCGCTGCGGTGGAGTGCCTCCTGCTGCTCTGGCAGTGCTCCTTTGTACCACAGCCTTTACTGTTGGCTCTTAAATGTTTTCACAGAAGCACCACACGCTCCCGAATGGCGGAGCATTCTGGTGCAGAGCTAGCTGGGTCCCCAACCACCTTCCACAGTGGTCACCACTGCTGCTGCCCCCACCCCTGCTACCAAAACCTTGTCATTTATACCCAATACATACAAGCATTTGTAAAACACACAAATGGTAAAGTACTTGTTTTTATTTAAATAAGAAAAAAAATTAAGTCACAAAGTAATACTGCAGGGTTAAGTCTGTGAGGTTTCACTTACGTAAGCCCGGTCAATCTCTGGCTGAGAACCACCCTGACCAGAACATAACTGGAGGTTTCAAACAGAGTTAGAACTGTTTACCCTTACTACAAGGATACGCTGTAATTAGAGCATGAAAAAATCTGTGTGCACACAGAAGTTGAAATATTTCTAATTACAGTATTTATTTTTATCATGGGGCTCTAATCCAGTCATCATCCTCTCCAAAATATGCTTTTCCTCCTGCTGCTTTTGGGATTGCACAGCACACCCATTAGTCATTTAGCAAAGATGCAAATAACATGCCATGTTTCTTTCTTACATAATCACTTTTTTTTATGTTTTAGTTCATTATCTCCTTCAGTTTCCAACAAAAAAAAAAAGGCATTGTGGACAGTCAGCAAGAACTGTACATTTATCATTTTACTTTCATTCAAATTTTAATATTTGAATAATTCCTTGACCCAATAAAGATACCACTTCAACTTGTGGGGGAAGGAGAGTATTCTGCCATTTTGTGTGATGAGTTGAAACTTCAGAGAAACTTAGTTAATGCAGGATCAGTGCTTCCGGAAAATTACACTCTAGGGGTTTCCTAAACAACCTGCTACAGCCCTTGCTAGGCACTGCCTTCTCCAACTGCATTGACAATTCCTGTGTAAAATCCACTTCCACTCCAAAATCAGGTCTTCGTCATCCCACCTTTTTTTTTTTTTTTAAGTGCTTTTCAAGATCAGGTAGATTATGCATTTAAACAGAGGTGCAACACCAATTCCCATGTTGGTTTTTATTAGAAATCAGAAGAAATTAATTTACGTCGCTCATTTATTTCTCCCTTCACTTATTCCAGCAAGGCTCTTCCACAAGACTTTTCTTTCCAACACCTGGCATGCAGGTGGATGTACAAAACCAACAGGAATTGTCAAACTGATTAACTAGCTTTGTCATCTTACTCTTTCCCTTCTGTTTGCTGTTTAATGTAATTAAGTAATTTGAAAGGGCCTCTGGGGATGGCAGAAGAGCTTGTGTTTTTCCACGTCTTGGTGATGTTTCATCTTTGATGATCAAAGCAGCACGGGCCCCTCTATTGGCTACACTCACCCTGAGCTAAGCCCTCTCACAAAAGAAAAGCAGTAACAGAAGTGTTAAAATAATTTATTATTTCCTGTGTGTGGGTACTTTATCCGTGCAAGTTTCAACAGGAATGCAAGGTGAGTAGCTCTGAATTACTATTTCCCCACCCCCAATGTGAAAGCTGCTGAGACGGCAGGTCAAATCCAGTCATGAAAAAGGCTGATAAAACCAAAAGAAAGCACAGGTTCCTTCACAAGATAATATTCCTTTTGTTGCATCTTCCTTTTCTCCCCAAATTAGAACTTGCCTCCTCTGTTTAACTCCGAACACAGGCAATGTGCACCTTTCAGTTTTGGGAGAGTTTTCATGTACGATTCTGAAGACTGTCACTAACAAAGTTCTATCTGTTTTTACGTTTCTCTTTTTTGTTTCTGGTGTTTACAGCTCCATTTACAGCTGGCGCTTGTGTTGCTTTTGCATGTCCTGTGGCTTTTAGGTGTTCAAACAGTTTATTTCGGGATGGAAATGCACAGTTGCAGGTTACACAGTGGATGGGAACTTCATTCTGCAATGAGGGAAAAACCAAAATGCTTCACATTTGTATGGAATATGAAATAAGTATAATACACTAATTTGTTGTATGCAGTTTCTTTTAGACAATGAAATGTGAATAAGCTGTTTGTTTCTATCACAGATATTCTATGACTGATTAACAATTGAATATATATATTAAAAAAATCACAAGTATGGCTTCTTGAAATTTTGAAGAGTACTAAGTAGAACCAAGAACAAGAATAGAAGCCTTGCAAATCTAATTCAAGATAAAGAATACTTTTGATCTCACCTGACTAAAAAAAGACTATACATTTACTACTTTGGGCTCTGAGATTTAGTGAATTTAATGTGTCTTAGCTGTAGTTATTACAAGATTTTGCCCTTTCTGGGAAGCATCAATATTGGGAAAGATGCAAATGGTACTGCCTGTCACCTGCCTGATGACAACAGCTCTGTCTTCAGTTGTTTAATTTATTTGGTTTGAACTGCCTTGGATACAGAGCTTTAGCAACTCTTGGAACTGAAAATTAGTCCTGCTCTTCTCTGTGAGGATGAGTGCTGACGTTCCAGTCTCCCACTTTCTAATAAAATCACAGGGATAGAAATACCTGCATTATTAAAAAATAAGCAAAAAACTAAAACAGAATTTGTGGACTGGAGGAGATCAACCAACCAACCTTGTTTGTAATAACATGACCACCAGCTTTTAAATAGCGTAAGTAACGTGACATACCGTTGTTGGGTGCTCTGAAGATGCCTTAGCAGACTTTTTTGCATCCTTTGCTTTTTTGCCTTTAGGCTTAGTACTGCTGATAAACAAAGAGAAAACAAGATCAGTGCACAGGAACATTCAACATTTAAGAGCTTCTGATGGTTTTCAATCATCAATGTCTCTGCTGCTTCCCCCTGTTCTTCCTTCACACAACACAATGCAAGTGCTTCCAGAAAAAAACCAAAGCAATTTAATTTATACGATCAATTGTTGATCTCAAGATTCAGCTAGATGATAAATCTGCTACTGGTAAGTGATGTGGCAGGGATCTGCAGTCAAACACCACTTCCAAAGTAGATCCTAACGCTCCTTGTTTAGTATCATACTTATTCAAATCTGACTTAGTGGAGCAGCCCCCAGTTCACATTGGTGAGTAAATCTAGACTTGTTTGACAGCATCAAACATGACACAGAATGACACCGTGACTGCAATATGGCAAGTCAGCACACCTTTTTGCTTCAGTTTTTGCTTCATTCACTTGGCCGACATCTTCTGTAGCGCTTGCGTCCTCTGGCACAGCACATCTTTGGCCATCATTTATCAACTCCTCTGCTGAGCCACTGTCCTTGTCCATGCAGGGCACCTCCTTCTGTTCAACTGTTTCTTCATCAGCACTTTTATCAAGAGAGTCCTCGTAAGTCTGTCCAAACGGAAGAAATGCAAGTCAACTACTTTAAGTTCATTACTGATTATAGTATTATACCTCATTTACCTCAAAAATGGGTGGGTGGGGAGAAGACAAAGTCATGGACACTCTTAATTTTACTGTGTGTTTTCAGTGAGATTGTAACAGGTAAAACCTTAGTTCTCCTGTTTTGAAAGATGGAGGCCACCTGTGATAAAGGGAAGAAACACCAATAAAACAGACTCTAAGACCATGGAAGAGGAGCATGAAGGTAGCTTTTAATTATGCACAGGGCTCATTCTGTTCTGGCTACCATTTCACATTATAAGATAGTGGCTTTGCTTGTAACTTTGCAAAATGTTAATTATTTAGACTAAAGTTTTCTGTGCCAGACACCTGCGTTAAGCACATTTAGGCCAAAATAACTGAGCTGACTGAAGCTAGATAGACACACTGTATTTTTCTTCCCTAACATTAGAAACACTGGCAGCCTTTTCCACGTCGTACCAGAAGACAGAGTAGACTCAATACAGGCAGTTTGGCAAAAAATCAACTCCTGAGCATGTCTGAAGCAAAACAGCTCAGCTCCCAAAAGCAGGATAACAGATTTCACCTAACACTACATTAATGCAACTCTATCACCTCCAGTATCTTTTGCAGAGTCTCAGCTACCTGAAAAAAACTTGGCTAATCTACCTACCTTCAGGAAAAGAAAACAAAAACCATAGCGATTCCCTGCGCTCCATGAAGCTTGGTAGAGGATGGAGGTTATGTTTCCAGAGGAATCTCTCTGCACAAGATTCCAGCTCATGCTACGCGAGAGTGGCACCTACTGTCTGGGCTGCAGAAGACCTCATGACCAAACTGATGGAAGAGAGACACAGTGCCTATATGCAACCTATACAGTGAGAACAAGACCTTCTGATTTCAAACTGAGGCTGCAAGAGTTGAACAGGAGCCTGATGGCCTGCATGGAAACAGGAAGGTCAAGCCAACACTGACTTGGACTATGCAATACCAGCCAGAGAAGCAAGAAAAATTCAGTTGCTTGAAAGTCTCAGGAAGTTTCTTGAGGATGAGAGATAATGATGGTGTGGGAGAGGGCACAGAAGGTGAACACATAATAGGAGACTAGAGGGGTTAGGTTAGGGAAAGACACAAGACCATCTTGGGAAAGGACAGAAGAGGCAGGGCCTGGTACAGATAGTTCACTGCGACAAGGCTAGGACTGAGGCAGTAAGTAGAGAAGAGGTAAGACTTGAAAAGGATCAAGCTTGAGGAAGGCAGACAGAAGAGTTTGCTCACTATGGCACACAAGCCTGAAACAGCTTGCAGTTCTTGAATTTCACCCTGCTGCTGTCAGCACAGATCTGTCATATCATGCACAGACTCAGATCCTGGAGTACAACAGACTGCTGTTACTCGTGTTTACAATTCAAGTGAAGGGTGGAATGGATGTGTTCGTTCCAACAACTACAGTGTCAGTAGGATGCCAATAATGTGTTACTTTCCCCCCGCTCCTAAGTTAGAGATTAACAAACAATACATCATACCAACTCTAGCAACCAAAGCAGAAAACAACCACCAAACAATTAAGCTGGTAATGCACTAAGGCCACTGCTGGTCTTTCTGATCAATTCCTTGCATTCTCCCTATCTGCCTGTTTCCGTCTGTCTTCCTTACGCTTCAGACTGTAACCTTTTTAGAGCCAGCACCACACTTATTAGGATCTGCACAAACATAAAGTGAGGTCTACGAGATTATTATCATATGATCATAGTAAGTGTCATAAAAAATATTCTGCAGTCAAAGAAGAATTAAAAATTATTCTGCAGTCAAAGAAGAATTAAAAATTATTCTGCAGTCAAAGAAGAATTAAAACTATCTGAAAACAGTCTTCAAGTTCCGTAGAATTTCAAGTTCTCTCAATCTTCAGGACAAAAAAAAGTTAGGTTAGGAGATAACAAAACTGGGTTGTAAAGTTCCCTGAATATCATTATATGACTACATACCATCATTGTTTTCTGTTTCTTCCTCTGCTTCTTAGAGAGTCTGTAAAGATAAAGAGTTTAAAATGACCTCCTTTCAAGGAAGAAAAAAAAAAAAAGGTACAATTTCTAAAAAGGTACCAAATTCTATTTTTGCTTATCCTCTTAACATATTAGGGAGACAGTAGCCACAAAGAGAAAATCACTCATGCCTGAAAACAACAATTCTCCTAAACTACTATTTGCATTTAGTAAAAGTTATTCTGCTCAGACTGAACTTGAAGATACTAGTGAGATAGTTGGTATTATGCTTTGGCCATTCAAAAAATGAAGTTGTGCAACTTACATCATCAATTCTGATTTTAAGCACACTCATTTTCTATGTATGCCAGCATCCAACTGACAAAAAGTACCAAAAAAGTACCAAAGCATAAACACTTGCACTGGCCCTGTGCAAGTTCCCCTGTTTGAAAAATAACAATCACTACTTTTCCTTAAACGTAACTTTAAGAAGCATAGAAAATACGAGACTGTTATCCTACCATATTTGAATCCAGTCATACTAATGCATGCATTTTACTGGAACTCTGATGCTAAAGAATATTTTAAATTGCACAATACTATGAGTTCCAACAAAACTATAAATCATCAGAAGCTCCCTCTGAGGGCCTCCAAGACTTACTAAATCATTAGCCATGATAAAATTAAAACCAATTTAAAGTACTTCTGTTTGGGCATGTCTTCTGCGTCTTCCTCCTCTTTGGTATGTATTCCATTTGCATCATCCAAAGACACAGGAAATTTCCCTTCTTCTTCTTCCAGTTGCTGTCGTAACAGTGCTACCATCTCTCGATGCTTCTTTGATTTTTCGTGATTCTTCATGCTGTGAAGACCAGCAGATCGTTACTGCAGGTAGCTCTGAGCAAACATGGTTATATTTACATATAAATTAATAACAGGCCCATTACCCATCACTACTAAGTACTGAAAATTCTGCCCTGACAATGTCTCTCCTGGAAAGACGACACTGACTGTTATGTGAAGTTAAAAAGTCTTTAAAATGCATTTTTAAAAAAGGTAAAACCCAACATCCCCACCCCCAAATCCCCAACCACAAGCACTTACGCTTTCTCAGTTTTTAACAATTTGTCACAAGCAGGGCAGTACAGACCATCAACAAACTCAGCTTCTTCAGTCTCATCATTCAGTTTGTCTGAAGAGAGCAGAGGGGATCAGAGAGACAGTCAGATGAGCGATTTTTGTGTAAGCTGCTCTTAAAGCCCCAGCAAACAGTCACAACACTGACATTCAACTTCTTTAGCATTATTGACACGCAGACAGATCAAGACCATCTCACCAAATCATACATTAGCATAAATTAACAGCTGTAACTTGATGTCTTCTCATGTTCAGTGGAAAACACCAGAGAGGGCCAGACTCTAGCCTGGCATGCCTCAGCTGGAGGCAGGGAGTTGCACTAGTCTGTCAATCTGGGCTTTAAGTCCAGTGAGCCAATACTCAGGCTGACGACTCACTACAGATCACCCCCCACAACCCATACCTTCGATGCCTTTTGTCTCCTCTTCTTCTACTTCATCTTCATCGTCTGATCCATCTCCAAATTCCTTTTCATATTGTGCCTCCATCTCTTGCAACTCTCTCTCCAGATCTGACATAGTGATCCAGCTCTGCTCTTTATACTGCTCAGCAAGCCTTTAAGTAGAATAATACAGTAACTTCTACATTGAGTCCATGAGATGGGAATTACAGAAACAGTATTATTTAAAAGATAACTTGTTCTTCTCTTGTATTTTAGGAGGAAAGTCCTGAACATATTATGATGGAGCAAACAATTATCTGTAGGGCCTGGAAATCTGAGCAGTTAATTTGTGATGTCAATGGGCACATCTACGCTGCAAGTGAAGAGGTCTTAACATAGGTGGGTCCTGCTTGAATTTCAGGCAGGAAATGCTATGCAGCATGGTCAATGTCAAGCTGACAGGAGGGAAGTTGACTCAATCCTCAAAGCAGTACAGTTGCTTTTACCTGCTGCAAAATCCAAACCCACGAACAGTACAGGACCAAAAAAGCCACAAGCACATTACTCCTTGACTCTGTGCTATGGGAATGTACCAACTCAGCTTTCCAAATCGAAGTGTGGCCTAAGTTACCAGTCAGTACACCACAGTACAGCTGAATTTTGCTACAGCTGGCTCCTGGACTCAGAATTATCAAGCCATTTGTCAGGAAATGCATAGCTCTGCTTCATTCTCCCTTTAGGGAAAAAAAATATATATGTAAAAAAATAAATTGTACATAATATATTCCATATATATTTTAATTATTATTTTATAATTTTAATCAATATGCAATTATTTTCCAAGTGCCCTCTTATTAAGAATTTAAGCTCCTTCCTCCCATTTGCAGGCAAAAAGCTCTTCTAGTTGGAAGACTAAATTGTGCTTACACTCAGGAGATTGCCTCTTCCTTCTACTTAATTTTGGGAAAAATAAAAGCATCAAAAAAAATTCTTTTAGTCCAATGAAAGGGTCCTTTCTGAAGAGTTAAAAGGAAAAGCAAAACTGAGCTCATTTGTCCCATTTTCTTTTTAGCAGGTACAGTTCCAAGGCTGATGAAGCTGATGTAAGTCCAGGTTGTCATAGTCCTGTTCTCCCTCATTCCAAAACAGGCATTCTTTTTTCTTTAAAGGAACAATGATTAACTATAAAATCTTACTTCCCCAGGTAAGTAAAAGCACACTAGATTCTGTGCTAGTACAGCCAGTTACCTGCAGCACACAGATAACTATTCCCTGGTTATCTTAGATCTCTACATGTCAGTACAATGCAGAGACACTAAAGTTTTAAAAAGCTCAGACTTGAGACCAAAACTAATACATAAAATTTTCAAGGATGTTTAAAAGAGCAAGTGGAGCTATTATTAGAATCTAACTCTATATGGTACCTTCATGGTTAATTTCTCCCAAGTTTAAAAGAAAATATTTCTTCCACATTTACATACTTGGCTTGTTTGAGCTTCTGCTGCCTCCGAAATTCCTCTGCTTTCTTAGTTTTTTCTGCATTTTGTTCTTCTACAAGTTTTCTGTGAGCCTGAACTCTTTTATCCCTTTTGCGAATAAAGGCTACTAGCTGACGGACCAGTTCATTCCTCTCTTTCCTTGCTTTCTCTCTCGTTTTCTTGTTCTCTTTTTCCATAGCTCGTTTCTCCCAGCGGTTTGAGGCTTGTCGTGTGTCATATTCTTCTTTCCAAGCAAAGTTTTTCTGAGTACAGAAACTCTGCCAATATGCATAGAAAGGGTGGACTACCTGTAAGAAAAAAGAATTTAAACAAGTCACTTGTTTTGAGGGGGACAAAAACCATACCAAATAATACAGCAGTTTTCTGTCTTCTGTATAGGCCACAGTTTTCCCTCAGAGTATAAATAAATCATATGAAGGTTTAGAGAAACCTCTAATATCATCCTTAAAATTTCAAACCATGCCAGATCAACAACCTTGTCTAAACTATTCCAAACTGCAACTTCTAAAAAATATCCCCTTGCAGGATTGGATCATGCTGACACTACTGCCCAGTTACTTAGCTGTGCTGTACTTTTCCTGTCACAACTGAAAACCACAATCAGAATGAGATATGCTGTCCGCAAGCAGGCATATGCATGTATTGCCCAAGAACCACCATACTGAATTACACCAAAGGTCAGCCATACATTTCCAACAGCAGCCAATGACCAGCACAAAAAGAGCAATAAAACAAACACAAGTACATAATGCTATTTCTTCCCTGTATATTCTCTCTGCTTCCAGAGCAAGACAGAAATCAATAGCCCTTGATGGATTTTTCTTTCATGAATTTGTTTAATATTTCTTTTATTAACCCGTGTAAATTGTTGGCATATACAACAGCATGGAGCCGTGACTTGCACAGTTTAACAAGGGGCTATGTGAAGATGCACTTACTCCTGTTTTGTTAGCAAATTATACGACTGCAGGTTATAATGATGTCCTCTAGCTCTCACACTAAAAGAAACAGTAAATGATCTTTCCTTATTCTCCTCCCTTTTACTGTTCATGAGTAAATGCTGGATTAACAAAATGGCATAATAATTATTTTTTGTTTTGTTCTCTATTCCTCTCCAAATAATTACTAACCTTCTGCATTTTGTATACACCTAAACTCCCTTCTTACATTACTCACCCCATTAAGCTGCCTTTTTAATACTTACTCCTACATGCACTACTGTTTATATTTTGGAATAGCTCATAGAAGTATTTAAGCTAACAGTTTAATACCTCTTCTTCTAGTATCTCCTCGTCTCCTCCTTCTGCTATTGGTATTCACATGGACTATCAACACCTCAACACTAATTTCTAATGGCCTATCTACATGCAAAAGTTCACGGCTGTGGCCTCTGGCAGGTAAGTCACTACAGTTTTTCTCTGCTATCACAAAAACCCAGCTCTATAATAATGAATAAATATTCATATTTAATCCAGTAACCTAAGTGAGATTAGACTCCCTGTCTCAGATTTCTGCTTCACAAAGGGATGTCTTCTGTGCAAAAGGATGCATGGCCATCAACTGATGACAGGGATCATCCTCCCCTTCACCAGCTGTACGAGCTAAGACTTTCCTCCTCCTCAGCAGCTACCTGATATACAAGCACATCTCTGACATTCTCCAAAAGACTGTACAGCAGCTCTTGCTGAACTCGCAGGTGGATTTTGTTTTGCCTACTACTTATACTTGGAGCTGATCGCTTTTGTTTCTGCATCTAATTGACCTACAAGTCTTCTCTTCCCATGAAGTCTTGTGAAGTCACAGACTTAAGAATATCTTCCCTGGCTGCCTGGCATTGATCGAGCTGCCTCTCAAGCTTCTTATGGATTAACTCAGTAGACTGAACCAGAGAACATTCACATCACAGACTTTGAAGCCTCTGCAGAGTTTCTGTAGCTCCCTTCTAAAACTCTTTTCCCTTTTCCCACAATACTCCACAGAGTAGAGAAGTGGGCACTGCAATGCTGGAATCCTCTGACAGTGTAGTCTCTTTGTCTTAATATAAGATAACAGGGATAATGACTTTCCCATTTAACTGAGGCTATTTCCCATAAATTACTCCTATCAATCCCTTCAAAAAAAAAAAAGTGAGCATTCTGCTTCCATAACAGCGTGAACAAGGCAGATGTCAAAGCCTGCTGGTGCTAGAATTCCAGCCATTTTTGCAGTTATTAATTGACAGCATAAAAGCTATGTTGGGTCTATAATCATATCTATCCCATGGCCTTGTAACAAGCAGTTTCCAAAAGATGTTTCAAGATAACTCCATTAAAGGACGGATTTTAGCAGTTTCAGAGACACTAAATATTCTCTCTCTGGGAAAGATTTCCATTTGTTAAGCCATCCTGTAATTTCATCTGATATTCAAACACCCATTCTTATACTTCTTAGTTTGATTTGTAACTTTGTTTCCAACTCCAGCCAAGTTTTGTACCATTGAAATTACTCATTTTTAAGGTGTGTATCAATTTATATTTCATAAATAATTAGTCATACAGTACAATTCTACTAAAAGTGACAGGGAGAAGTAGCAGACTAGGAGCAACGTTTGAGTACACTGATACTGTGCAGTTATTCACTGGGCAAAGTGCTATTACTTTACTATTTAAACACAGGAATACCAGTAACCTTAAAAAAAAAATTGTAAGTCTGATAGAATACAACAAATAGTTGGCAAACCAGATGACAAGAACTCAATTGTCCCACACACATTTTCTTTTCTTGCTTCCCAAAGGAAAGCATGCAGTATTTTGGAAATTAAATCTTACTACAGCGTAATTGTAGATGACAAGAGTATCATAGTGGGACCTCACACTGCAGGTCAACCACCGCATCTCCCATTTTCTAAAGGCTGTGTTATGCAGTAAGTGCTATGCAGTTTTCCCAAATGAGGCAAGACACTACATGTTATTTTTAAAAAAAAAAGTTATCTCAATATCCTTTTCTGTAACGTAAGCTGCGTTAAAACACTGGTAAACTATTCTCATCAGGAAGCAAAGAAAACATCTGTTCTTTTGTTTTATAGGCCTTGCACTGCCTTTAGGTTTCATTGGCATAATTGATGGTTAGCCCTGTGAAGTGTTTGTCTGACAACTTACCCTAAAAGCCTGGCTAATAATATAGTCCAACAGGAAATACCAATTTTAATTCACCTAAATATTGTGAATCAGAACACAAGCACTTCCTTTGTAGTAATGGTCTACAGTAGTAGAAAAGACAGCAGATACATGGTTTTGTACTCACCTCGGAGATCAGCAGGACCCTTTCCTTCGATCTCAGTGTGGGACAAAGTAATGACTTAACTGTGTCACTTTCAGTTCAGATTTACACTTGCTCTTACCGTATCATAGTCACTTTGGGCATATCCAAACATAGGGAATTCTTCAGTATCTTCCTGGGTCATATATTCCATCTCTTCTTTTGCAATCTTTTCAAAAACTTGTCGATAGACTGTAAAAAATCCCTGAAATAAAAAAAAAACATATATCTGACTCATTTTGCATGGCTCAATAATAGATGTACAAATGCTCAGCTACAGCAGTATATTTTAGAGAAATATTACAATTCTGCAACAGCAACTCAAAATCAGGGTAAAGGCCTTGTAAGCACTTGCTCTAGATAGCAAGACCCTTCTGTTTAACAAAGTTCCCATTCTCTCACATTCCTTTTATTTCCATCTCCTTCATGTAGTCTCTGTCTCTCTCACACATCACGCACCTGTATTCAAATCTAAACTAAAAAAAAAGTTTCAGCATGCTGGAGATGTTGATAAGTTTCTGGTTACACAGGATCAAGCTTTGAGGAAGTTCCAAATATAAAATTCAGTATTAAGTATCCTATCTCTTTTTAAATTAAGGTGTTACTAACTCACTCCTAGTATAGTAACACAAAGACAGATAAGGATTCTTCTCTGGCAGAGGTTTTTCTAATAATCTGGAGCTTTTTAAGTTACGATGAGTATCTTAAAATCCAACAGGGTATTCAATTATAGGAAGCACACTTTCCCCAAGGACTGCTATTATATTGCCTTTTTTTTTTTAGTTTGAAGCATTCTAGCTTGTTAAAGATATTTTTGAATAAACAGATGGTATTGCAAAGCACTGGAATGCTTCACTTTATAACGTAAATAAATAATATACACACACTCTGTAGTTTTATGGTATAGTGGGAAATCATGACTAAGTAATTGTTGGACAATAAGCAGGAATTAAAGCTTCCCTAAGCGTCCAGCGTCAGTTTTGTCTTAGAAAGACTGGTGTCCTGGTTTCGGCTGGGATAGACTTAATTTTCTTCCTAGTAGCTGGTACAGTGCTGTGCTTTGGATTTAGCATAAGAATAATGCAATAACACACCAATGTTTTATTTGATGCTAAGCAGTGTTTATACTAAGTCAAGAACTTTTCAGCTTCCCAGGCTCTGCCCGCGAGGAGGTGCACAAGAAGCTGGGAGGGGGCACAGCCAGGACAGCTGACCCAAATTGGCCAAAGGGATATTCCATACCATGTGACGTCATGCTCAGTACATAAACTGGGGAAAGCTGGCCGGGGGGCCGCTGCTCGGGGACTGGCTGGGCATCGGTCAGTGGGTGGTGAGCAGCTGCATCACTTGTTGTTCCCCCCCTCCTCGGGTTTTGTTCCTCTCTCGTTGTTTTACTTTGCATTACCATTTTTTTTTATTATTATTATTATTATTATTATTATTATT